GGGCTCTTGTGAAGATTTAATTAATTGATGGCAGCTATGCAGTTGAGTTTTCTTCCCTAAGATGCACTAATTTGAACTCGTGTTTAGTATATTTAATTTTGAACTTCTGACTTTTTCCCTAGGGAATCATAAATGGGTCATCCTCAGACAAATTACAGGATTACGGGAATCATCTTTTCTAAAATTTACAGTTTAAGTCGCACTTTCACACAGACAATGTTATTTTATTTTCCCAAACAACAGATGTAAAAATAACAATAGAAATCATTTATAAAGTGCTTATTCTGTGCCAGGCAGCTCTTAGAGTTCCCATATGTGTTCACATAATTCATTTAATCCCGTTATGGTCTGAATGTGTCTCCCAGAATTCATAGGTTGAAACTTCATTGCCAATGGGCGTAGTATAAAGAAGTGGGGCTCTGGGAGGTGATTAAGTCATAAGACAAAGCCCTCATGGATGGAATTAGTGCCTTACAAAAGGGTTTGACTACCATGGCACATGTATACCTATGTAACAAGCCTGCACATTCTGCACATGTATCCCAGAGCTTAAAGTACAATTTTAAAAAAAGGGTTTGAAAGGGCCAATTCATTCCTTCAATCTCTTCTGCCATGTAGGGGTGCAGCGAGAAGGCCCTCACCAGACACCCAATGCCTGCACCTTGATCTTAGACTTCTCAACCTCCATAATTGTACGAAATAAACCTCTGTTGTCTGCTAATTATTCAGTCTCAGGTATTTTGTTATTGTAGCACAGCTGGACAAGATGAACCCTCAACCACTAGATGAGACAGATGTTGTTAAAATTAGCCAGAGGTGCACAGAGGTTAAGTGACAACAAGCTCGAGATCATAGAGCTAGTAAGAGCAGAGCTGAGATGTGAGCATATGCAGTTTGATTCTAATCTGAATGCTAAGCTCCACTCTAATTGCTTCCAGTGTTCCCATTTGAGAAGCAAGAACTGAGTCTTTGAGAGGTTATACATTATGACAAGGACCTAGTTAGGACTTAAATACTGTACAAGTATTCAGATCCCAAGCCCAATGCTATAACCAGTCAACATGCCTCCATCAATGACTTACCTCAGCATCTTGCCAGATACAAAGAACTGAGTTTTTCCTCTAAGTCAAAAGAAAAAGGAATACAAAATATTCCCTACTGAAGCTTTATGTCATCAGCTATATTGTTATGATGATATTAGCAACCTGCAGAAAAGCTACCAAAATATTATAAAGTTGGCTATACTTTTGGTGGGCCAGAAATACTTTTCAAACAAATCTCCAAGGTCAGTTTTCCCTTCTTTGCTTTTGCCTCTGCCTTCGTAACCTCTCTGGATTTCTCTTTCTTAATGTCTCCTATTCACAAATAAGGAATGAAGCACATGGATTTAATAACCAAGGCAGTGATTCATGTGTACTTTCATCTAATCAGAAAGAGTAGTGGCAGGCCCAAGAACTCATTTTGGTTGTATATCATTTTAACAGAGTTGACACACATGTCCTTTAGAGGGAAAATAATAAAAATGTAAAAAGCGAAAGCCAGCACAGACCTGCCAGCTGCAATGATTGGTTACACAGAAGAGATCCATGGAATTCTGAAGCCATTTGGGTTTTGTTAAGTTTGCTGAAATAGGACCAACTGTGATCTCTACCACTTTAAATGGTTTAATGACTTTTGGATAAGCCTTCAGAATTAAATGGTTAAATCACCAAAAGCTTCATAAAATAATTATGCAAACAATTTTCTGGTTAATTATCTAACATGAACAGAAGCACACAGCTGCTAAGATATATAATTGCCGTTTCATCAGGGCTGCCTATTGTATTTACATAATTCCTTTACTGATCTTGGTGTGGTTTGGTGGGAGGGAACTAACATAACATCTCATGACATGAACAAGTTAAAGGTATAGCTCCTGCCCCAGCTGGTAGATAACAATAACGACTTTGATTTTTTTGAGGGAATGGATAAGGGCCTTCAAATCAAATGTACATTTGTGTGGCATATATAAGACTTAAGCAGGCATATTTAAATGAAGGTTGGGCAGAGATAAATATTTTCCCTATTAGGTACATAATATGCATGTAAAGAAGTAAATATGTCATCATTGCACAGTCCGTAGACTGAGCACCCTCATGTAAGCAGCACCCAGAGCAAGAAACAGAATATTACCAGGACCCCAAAAGCCTCCCTTATCCCTCCTTTTCATTTCTGTTCCCTCCAAGGGTAGTTACTGTCCTAACCTCTATCAGCAGAGACTAATTTTATCAGTTTTGTGCTAAATTTTAATGAAATCATACAGTGTGTGTTCTTTTGTGTAGCTGATTTTGTTCACCGTGTTTTTAAGATTCATCCATACTGTAATTTGCTTATTCTCATTGTTATATAGCATCCCATTGAGTAAATATACTATCCCAATTTATCTATCATTTTACTATTGATGCTATTTGGATAGTTTCCAGTTTGGTGATATTATGAATAAAGCTGCTGTGAATGGTGTCCATATCTCTTGGTGAACATATGAGCACATTGCACTTAGGTCTCTAGGAGGGGGATTGTGTTGTGGGGTGTGCATATCTTCAGCTGTATTAGATACTACCAAACCAAACACTTTTCCTGAAAGGTTGTACCAACTTGCACCCTACCAACACTAGAGGAAATTTGGGATAAATGTTTTGAAGAATGCTAACTGATGTAGGCTAAATTTTAAAGGGCAGTGTTGAGTAAGGAGAAGAGTGGACAGTAGATCTAATGGAAAGGACCCCAACAATATGACTTAGTGAATAAAGGATAGGTTCAGAGACAGCAGCCTAATGGAGGGAGCAGTCACAGTTCAAGATCATTTAGTGGGCAGGAGAAGCTCCTTGGATGTTTATCACCCACTTTGTGTTCCTCTCCAGCTCTGATGCATGCACCCACAGTATGCATCCTGGAGAATCACCCCAGGTTGATTCTTTCTTTTTTCTTTAGTCCAAGTGGAGCATGCTCAAGGGCGCCCAGGTCTGAGGTAGCACTTTGGAGCCTTGGGGATGCCTTGCTTCTTAATATATGGCTGCCCTTGCTAGGGCATACAAATTCTTGTACCCTCTTACTGGTGTCTAGCAGCTCTGAGGCAAGGGTACTATAGACTAAATGTTTGTGTCCCCCAAAATTCATACATTGAAATCCTAAGTCCACCATGTGATGGCATAAGGAGGTAAGGCCTTTGGTAGATAATTGGGTCATAAGGGTGGAGTCCTCATGAATGGGATTGGTGCCCTTATAAAAGAGGCCCCAGAGAGCTCTCTGTCTCCTCCACTGCATGAGGACCCAGTAAGGAGATGGCCATCTACAGGTCAGGAAATAGGCCCTCACCAGAACTCGACTGTGCTGGCATCTGAGCTTAGAATTCCAGCCTCCAGACTATGAGAAATACACCAACAAAGAAAAGAGAATGAAATACTAAAAATTATTTGATTCACACACACACACACACACACATGAAAGACAAAAGAACAAAAAGGACCAATAAAAAACAGACAGAAAGATGATAGAGTTAAACCCAGTCATATTGATAATTAGATGAAATGCGAATGAATTATTCCAATTAATTGGCAGAGATTGTCAGACTGGAAAAGAAAAGCAATCACGACAACTAAAACCCAACTATATGCTATTCACAGGAGAGATACTTTAAGTATAAAGACAGAAGTTGAAACTTAAAGGCTAGAAAAATGCATATCATGCACGCACTAAATATTAGAAAGCCAGTAAAACCAAATCAATATCAGATAAAATTGACTTCAAGACAAAGAGTATTACCAGAGATAAGGAAGTCCAATTCATAATGATAGAAGGAACCAATGCATCCAGAGAACTAACAATCTTAGATATGCCTGCATTTGCTATTTAAAGTGTATATAACATTGAATTAATTGGCAAAGTTGTTCCCTGCTTTTTTTGTGGAAGAGCTCCTATCCTTCCTGCTGCTGTTGTATACCCAGGAATGCTGTGATGATGGAGATGGTTTAAATGACGTTTATAAGGTATTTAATTGTATATGCAAGGTAGTTAAATGGTATGTTTCTTCCTGCCATGAAACTATATGTGGAGTTGAGGTGATAATTTTTTATTTCTTTTTAAATTTGAAAATTAAAATGTTACTGTTTTTATGACTGTAATCCCTAGTTCACAGACCATATATAGAGATCTCCTTTGCAGGTTTCTCTAGGCAACAGTTGTTGTCAGAGGCGTGTGAACCAGAGCAACTTTATCTTAAATAGGAGCTGGGTAAAATGAGGCTGAAACCTACTGGGCTGCATTCCCAGACGGTTAAGGCATTCTAAGTCACAGGATGAGACAGGAGGTCAGCAAAAAATGCAGGTCATAAAGACCTTGCTAATAAAACAGGTTGCAGTAAAGGTGCTGGCCAAAACCCACCAAAACCAAAATGGCGACGAGAGTGACCTCTGGTTGTCCTCACTGCTACACTCCCACCAGCCCCATGACAGTTTACGAATGCCATGGCAATGTCAGGAAGTTACCCTATATGGTCTGAAGAAGGGAGGCATGAATAATCCACTCCTTGTTTAGTATATCATCAAGAAGTAACCATAAAAATGGCCAACTAACAGCCCTCAGGGCTGCTCTGTCTGTGGAGTAGCCATTCTTTTCTTTGTTTACTTTCTTAATAAACTTGTTTTCACTTTGCCCTTGCCCTGAATTCTTTCTTGAGTGAGATCCAAGAACCATCTATTGGGGTCTGGATCCAGACCCCTTTCCTGTAACACTGTGACTTTAAAAAAAGGCTGGGTCAACAACCCAGTACAGTCTATGTGGTGGCTATAATGTACCCTGTGGTGGGACTATCACTTTGATGTTTCTTTCTATGCATTAGACTACAGTTGGTCCATGCATTGCTAAAATCCTGACATTAAAGCAAAGGGAGCAATCAGTAAGTAATTTTGATGCTCTACCATGATAACAATCCACATGAAAACACATTGAGTCATCCATTATTAAACATTTCCCAAAGTTTGTGCTATGAAGTTTTAATTTGCCATGAAGTTGTTTGGAACACAGAATTAAATGCAAACTATAGAAAGACTGTCATATTTACCCAACAAAATGAATTAAAGGAGACCTTTAGAAAAGGAAAAGGAGAAATAGAGCTTCTTTGAATTCAAAAGAATCCCTGTCAGTCATCTCAACCAGCAATTTCCAAATTTAATAAATACACAACTCGTCTGCAAAGGTTTTTAAAGTGCAGATACCTGGTCCAGAGATTAAGATTAATGGTTCATGTTATGACCCAGGAATCTAAATTTTAAACCATCTTTCTAAGATTATGATGCAAATAGACCTCAGACTACACTTTTAGAAACAGTAATCTAGTTTCAACATATCATACATGATAGGTGGCTTCCAGAAAGTTTATCCTCATTCTGAGCCAAGTCGTCCTTTGCCTTCTGTATGTTCAGGCTCTTCCTTCAGAAGCTACACAGAATAGCTCAAATACCTCTCCTATTACAACAGCCCTTCATATTCTTTGACATAGTAATCTGGCCTCCTTAACAAACCCCTCCTTTTCTCCCCAGGCTAAATACTCCCAGTTACTTTGACATTTTCTCAAATAGTATATTTACAAACATCACCCACCGTTTGCTGTGTGTGTCTAAAAATGCAATATGAGAGCTGAAAAACATATTTCAATTTATCTTCACCATCAAAAAATACAACGAGGGCCATTACCTCTCCTTGTTTGCCTTTATGCTTTTAAACAGGTAGTATATGTCCTCTAACTTTGTCTTTTTTTAAAAGATGTTTTGGCTATTCTAGGCCATTCACATTTCCATTAAAATGTATGAGCAGTTTCAAGTTGTCCAAAAGAGAGTCTGCTCGGATTTCGGTTGTATTGCCTTAAATCTGTGCATCAATTTAGGTAAAATTAATATTTCAATAATATTTATTCCTATAATTCATGAACAGAGTATATATCTAAATTTATTTGGATCTTCTTTAATTTTTTTTCTGCCATGTTTCATGGGATTTATCCCCCAGTGGTTCATGTCTTGATGTTGTTGAAAATTTTAAAAGGAAAGTTTAATTGTTCATTGCTACTATTTTGAAATCTAATTAATTTTTATATGTTGTGTCTTGTAACTATGCTAAACTAGCTTATTGGTTCTATTAGCTTTTTGGTAGGTTCCATAGGATTTTCTATTTAGATTATAATGTCATCTGCAAATAAAGATGGTGTTACTTCTTTTCCAACATGGATGCCATTTATTGTTTTCTTATCTTACTTCACTGACAAGATCTTTTGATACAATGCTGAATAGAGTGGGGAGAGTGGACATCCATGCCACCCTTTCCTAGTCTTAGAGGTAAAACATTCAGACTTTCACCACTAGGTGTGATGTTAGTGTTTATGAAGACTCCAATTAAGAAACAAGACAGAGAACACTCAGGCAAGAATCTCTACTTCTTTTCCACAGAAGTGGCTCTGCAGCTTTTCATCTAACACTGGTGTTCTTTTTGTAAATGATTGATTTTTCCACATCTGAATACTGATAAATCTGTAATCAGTTGTAGTTTTTTGTAGATCCACTTTATAAGGTTGAAAAAGTTCCCATCAATTCCTTCTTGGCTGAGAGACTTGCTTGTTTTTCTTTTTATTTATTTGTTTTTCAAATTGGGAACAGAGTAGGGATTGGCATACTTTTTCTAAAAACGGACAAATGTACACTTTTTAGGCTTTCTGAGACATACATTGTCTCTGCCATTTCTTCTTCTTCTTCTTCTTCTTCTTCTTCTTCTTCCTCTTCTTCTTTTTTATACAACTGTTTAAAAATATAGAAAGACATTCTTAGCTTGTGGGCCATAGAACTGTAGTTTGCTAACTCCTGACCTAGAAGTTTGTTATACCTACAATTTCACAGTTAACACTAAGGACAGTGGTAACGAATTGCTAAGGCTCCACCTCCTAGTTTTGGGATACCAGAGGAATAGAATGAACTGACAACCTAATTTTAGTCCTTAAATATATTACTTTTTGTGCAAGTATTCACATGAAATGATCATAATCTTATCTATATTGACTCGTTAACATTGACAGATAAGACTAATGGAAGAGGATGTAAGTATTATAAACATTAATTGATAATTAGAATGTCTTTTGCTCATCTACAAAATTTCTAGTCATCAGAGTAACACATACTGTCCCCTGTTGGTCTGGATGGACCAGCCACGAACACTCTCAATTCTTTCAGTTCCTGTACTCCCTCCAAATCTGGAGGTAAAAACACTCATCTGTACTCACAAACCAACTAAAGGAGGCTTGCTTTTCTACCTCAATTTACTTGCATAACTAGAACAGAAAAATCCAAAAGAACAAAATACTTACATTTTCCCCTATGCTTTCATATTTTAAAAAATATTTTCAGCAGGACTAGTTTGAGCTCTGAAAACAGGGAAGTTTTAAAAATAGTTTCCACCACCATTTGCTTGTTTGTTTGTTTTGTGCTTTTGTTCCTTTTGGTATGCAGCTCTGTGAATTTCAAAACATGTAGATACATGTAATTACTACTATAAAAAGCACACATGCATAACACCCCAAAATGTCCTCCATGCTGTCATTCTATAATCACAACTATCCCCTCCTCCAACCCCTGGCAACCACAGATCTGTTCTCTATCTTTTCAAGAACGTCATGTGAATGGGATTATAGAATAAATAACCTTTTGAGATGGCTTCTTTTACTCAGCATAGTGTCTTTGAGATTCACCCAACTTGTTGAATGTATCAACAGTCTATTCCTTCTTATTGCTGAGTAGTATTTCATTGTAGGAATGTACCACAATTTGTTTAACCATTCACCTGTTAAGCAACAGAACATTTAGATGGTTTTACCAGTAAAGCTGCTATGAACTTTCATATTCAGCTTTTTGTGGGACCATAAATTTTTATTTCTCTGGGATGAACATTCAGGAGTGAGAGAGTTGGATCACTAGTAAGCATACGTTAACTTTATAGAAAACTGCGAAACCACTTTCCAAAGTAGTTATATCATTTTGCATTTATGCCAGCAATGTATGAGAGTTTTAGTTGTTCTATGTCCTGGTCAGCACTTGGTATTATTAGTATTTTTATTTTAGTTATTCTAGTAGGTATGAAGCAGTATTGAATCATGGTTTTAATTTGCATTTCCCTAATAGCTAATAATGTTGAATACCTTTTCATGTGCTTATTTGCCATACTTAAATCCTTTTTGGTGAAGCATCTGTTCAAGCCCCTTACCCATTTGTAACTGTTGTTGTCATCTTTTATTGAGTTTTGAGAGTTCTTTACGTATACCGATAGAAAACCTTTGTAAGATATGTAATTTGCAGTATTTCCTCTTAGTCTATGGCTTATTTTTTTCATTCTTTTGACCATGTCCTTAACAGAGCAAAATTTTTTAATTTTGATGAAGACTAATATATCCAATTTTTATTTTATGGATGGTATTTTTGGTGTCATTTGGGGTCATCATCTAACCCCAGGTCATAAAGATTTTCTCTTATGTTTTCTTCTTAAAGTTTTGTAGTTTCATGATTTATATTTAGAGCTAGGCTCTATTTTGAGTTAATATTTGCATAAGGTGTGAAATTTAGGTAAAATTCATGTTTTTACATAAAAAGATAAATTGTTCCAAAACCATTTATTGAAAAGACTATTGTTTCTTCATTGAATGGTTTTTGTCAACTGCCTTTGTCAGAGATTAAATGGCCATATTTGTATAAGTCTATTTATGGATTCTCTTTTGTTCTGATCCACTTGTTATCTCTTCACCAATTTCATTCCACTGTTTTGATTACTGTAACTTTATAGTAAGTCCTAAAAATTTTACTTATACTGAAAGAACTCCAACATTATTTTTTTCAAAATTATTTTAGTTTTTCTAATTTCTTTTCTCCCATATAAATTTTAGCGCCAACTTGTTTATACCTACAAAAAAAAAAATTGCTGGGATTTTGATTGGTGTTGCTTAAAACTATAGCTCACTTTGGGAGAATTGGCATCTTTACTATGTTAAGTCTTCCAAACAATGAACACTGTATGTCTTTCCATTTACTTAGATCTTCTTTGATTTCTTTCATTAGCATTTTGTAATTGAACATGTAGCAAATATAGCATGTTAGTTATGGTTATTATACAATTACAGTTGCTAGATTCATAACTATTTCATTTTTATAACTATTTTAAATGGTATATATTTTTAAATTTAGTTTCCTATTTTCATTGCTTCTATATATAGAAATACATTGATACATGAATATTGATCTTTTGTTCACATTCTCTTTACAGAATCCATTAGCAAATACTGAATAGTTTCTCACATTACTCACTCTCACCAGAGAAAGCAGAGCATTAGACCCCTGAGGCTAGGACAAAAGCACAGAAGCAGGACAGGAAGGAAGAATGGTGCATGTGGAACAACCTAGGCTTTAGGTAAAATCAGACAGCTCTAGGACCCTAGCCTGTATTCTTAAATGTGTGACTTTGGGCAATCCTTTTGCGGAGGACTGGCATACTGTAAGTTCTCAGCAAGCAATAGCTTTCCTTGATGAAGAGAAGATGGAAAAGCCTAGAGCTGTCATTTTCAGGTTTTTTCCTTTTTAAGCATTGGAGTTTTTGTTTGTTTGTTTGTTTGAGACAGAGTTTCACTCTTGTTGCCCAGGCTGGAGTGCAATGGCGCAATCTCGGCTCACTGCAACCTCCGCCTCCTGGATTCAAGAGATTCTCTTGCCTCAGCTCCTGAGTAGCTGGGATTACAGGCACGCACCACCATGCCCAGATAATTTTGTATTTTTAGTAGAGGTGGGGTTTCTCCATGTTGGTCAGCTTATATGTCAAACCCATAAAAATGGAACTGCTCTAGCAGAGTGGTAGTGTCCTAGCAGTATTTGTGTGAGTCTACTTCTGGACCTTACCCTATCTCTTCAGCAATTCCCACTATTCCCTAGAATACCAGGGAGCACTGTTTGAGAAAAAAAATTGTTTGCAGTATCAATATAGGAGACCCTGTGAAGGTGGCCAGACTCCACAGGGTCAGAGCAGAGCAGTATGTATAGCCTTGCTACTCAAAGTATAGTTCCATCAGCATCACCTGCATCCCAGGCTCATCTCAGACATACTGAATGAGAATCTGCATTCCTGTTGTAATTGTCCAGCCGATCTGTGATCTGTGCACACCTTAGGGTTTTAGATGCTCTGGTACAATGTGAGGAGTAGAGAGAAAGCACATGATAGAGTCATCACAAAATGTGAGGCATACCAAGAGAGTGCAACTAAATTTTGTCAAGGCTGCATTCCATTAATCCTCTTTAGAAATTTAATAATTTGTGTGCTATTATTACCATTTCTCAGATGTCTTCAGGGAGTATGAGTTTATTAAAAGGAAAATACATTTTACTTATCTTTTCATTTTGACCCTTCAGACCCCTTTTTGGATTTCTAAATTATCTTTTTATTATGTCAACAACCTCTACCTTCCTGAGGATTCATGGCTTGTAATTATTTTGGTTAAGAAAAATAAACTTTCCTGTCACAAACAGAAAATCCATAATAATCTGACTCTATAATGTGAGTTGTTAATGAAATATTAGCTATTTTAGTAAAATGGTACTACACAGCAATTATGAAACAAGACAGAGAACACTCAGGCAAGAATCTCTACTCCTTTTCCACAGAAGTGGCTCTGCAGCTTTTCATCTAACACTGGTGTTCTTTTCGTAAATGATTGATTTTTCCACATCTGAATACTGATAAATCTATAATCAAGCTCTGATGTTAATATTGTGCCAGGATGAAAAACAGAATAATAATGACACAGCAGGGTTACAACATTGAAAGAGAAATTGGGAATTCAGCATATTGAAAAGAGGATTTATTATCTATTTCTTTTGTGATGTGACCTGGAGTCCAGAAATTGCAGTATCCTTCCAGTTCCTTCATCTATAAAGGTTGGATGGGTTATGATTTTCAAACTATTCCATAGCTATGGAACCCTTTGTGCAAAGGAAATGGTCCATGGTGGCTCTGTGTGTTAAAGAAATGAAAAAGGGACAGCAAGCTGACGTGGTGAGCCAAGTTTGAAGCCCATGGGCAAGTTACTCAGGTGTTGTTGAGCTCTGAAAATGGGGCAGTGCTTGGAAATCAGTGGATTGAAGACAGCTGGTATTTACCTAAATGATTTTAATTTATTCTTGTTTTTTTTTTTTTAATTATCAGTTACAAAGATGAGGGGAATCTCTGTTAAAGCAAGTGGGCCTGGCTGTCACTAGGTTAACATCAGGTATATCAAATGCCATCGGTTCTTTCTGAGCAAGACATTTGCCATTCTTCCTCTCCTTGCAGTTGCCACAGCCACCATCCTAGCTCAGGCAAATACAACTTCTGCTGGAAAATTAGAACAGCCTCCCAAATAGCCTCCCTTCCACCTCCAGTTCTTTGGAAGACAAAGCCAAGGTTCATACATACCAAACAGGTAGGACATCCTGCAGTTTGCTCATGGCTTTGTTATAAAGGCCCACTACCATGGAGAACAGAGTTCAAAATCCCTTGCCTGCCATGAAAAGCTCTGCTATTTCATCTCTAATCAGCTTTCTCTTTATCATTGCTCCCTTTGGCAAGCACTATAATCTAGTCAACAATAGCTATTCTCTCTTTCTAATCTGCAACCTACCCAGTATCTTTCTCTCACTACTCCCTTTGTCTATTACATCTTGTCTTTCCTTTGTCTAAATAATACCCACTTTTCAAGGACTCAGTTAAAATGCCACCTCCTCCCTGAAGTCTTTCCTGAGTTTCTCTGTCCTTCCAAAGTTCTCCCCATCCCTGCCCCTGCTCCTCAAACTAGTAATCACTCTATTACTATATATGGATCCCATTCTGAGCACATATTCAGTTCCAGTTTGATTATAAGTCTATACATCTAGCTCATTTTATATTATTATTGCTTCCATTGCCTCTCATATTGGCTCTTTAGAAGATGCATCATATCGTATTCAATTCTGGATATCTCATGTTGTGTAGCATATGCCAGATACTTAGCAGATATTTGGTGAAAAATTATAGTGTGTCTTTTACAATATGATAATTGCCTCCCTGAGAAAATCTGTTACAAAAAGAATTTTTTCAATAGGAAAAAGGAGTTACAGCTATTAAATTTAACCCATAACAAAATTATTTTTAACATGAATTTCAAGAATCAGGTTTTGAAATAACTCTAAATATATGTTGTTACTGTAAGCAGATATGTATTGAGTAAGCATAACTCTCTCAAACAACTTGTTGAAATGCATTCTTCTCTTGCCTTTAACTCATTCTTTGGGAGCTTCTTGACCTCCTTTATTATCCTTGATTCTGAACTTGGGCTTTTGCTGACAACACAGTTCCTAACTACTCACAGTGAACTAAATATAGGGAGGGTAACTGAAAGACCAGGGTGGAACAGAGAAGTTAGTTACCCAAAATAATTATGAGTTTCTTTGCTCTGCACAGGAAATTTAAATTATGATATCATTATTCCCCACAGGAAGTATTGAGAAATAAAGAAATGTATCCCCCCCAACCCCATTTCCATTGGAATTCGGACCTCTCTTCCCTTGGGTATTGTTGGGGGCCTCTCTCTCATCTAATTCCCTCCTCCCAGGAGAAAGAGTGTACTGACTGGTCAAGGCTTTATGTAATCCATGGGTCCCGGTTTTAGCTGTGAGCTGTCTGGGTACCACAGGTTTTGAGCTCCCTTCCACTCCCAGACCCACAGTTAATTGGGTAAATGGATTTGGAGCCTGTTTCTCAGACAGAGTCAACCTGTCAGGGAGATACTATGGCTTGGATTCAGGAGCATATTAGAAAAATTTCATGTTGACCTCAGTTCCAAGCTGTATTCTGTAATCCAGACATTAGTAGACTCTGCATTTTTAGGGATGTGGTCATTTTCTCTACACATAGCAAAGTCTATGCTTGTTCCCTTTGGCCTGTTATCTTTATACCTATTCTCTCAGTCAGAACATGGAGGGGAGGAGAGGTGAATCTTAGGCCCTCCAGCCTCTGACATAAATACTCCCTTGCATTTGTGAAATATTTCATAATTTATAAAGCATGTTTACTTCTAGTAGCTCACTTGATTTTCACAACCCTGAGAATTACCTTAAGATCTTCCTAGCCTTGCTCGTGACCTTTTCAGTGGCAGAAGATCCAAGTCACTGACACCAGAAAAATATTCTCTTTATCCATCCTGAAATTGGGCCTTGGCAATGATTTGAAGATTCCTTCTCTCCTGTTTCCTGTGAGCTATGGCTGGGAATTTTCTTTAGCAACACCCTCAAGCAGAGTTTCCTTAAACATCAGGGGACAAAGCCGCATAAATAGACTAAGATGCCCACAAAATGCATGTGAGATGAAGTGACAGAAAGAAGTGTAACTTGTAGATGACTAACTTGGAAATCCAGCAGCTAGAGCAGAAATGCTGGAAAAGAAAGAGGATTTGAAAAAGCAAGTCCTCATTCCCTGATTCCTCTGACTTCCAGGTGATCAGGAGAATCTAATTTTAAAATCTGTAATAAAGTATAGTATACACTGGTAGTAAGGAGGAGCTGAGGCTCTTGGAGAACTGGAAGTCTATTTGAAGAAGCTGATGATACCTACTGATACAGACACTGGAAAGCAGTTAAATATTAATGAACCTTAACCTATGTATGCCTAGTGTTCCATTATTGGAACACTACACTTGTGGGAGTTATTTATATCCTACTGTGCAAGGTCATTGCCAAGGTCTTATTTTTCACACAAAAAATTTGCAGCCTCTGGCATAAATGGGTTGATTCAAATAGGAACAAAACTATCTCCTATTTTCTTACTCCTCCCCCAAGCTAATGCATACTGCTGAGGCTACCCAAGACAGATAGATAGAAAGGCAGCTTGAGCCAGTGTCACATTTATTTTCTAAAGTCAAGGAGGCCCCTTCTGAAATTCTTGCTTGGCAACCTTAAATTCAAATCTTCACCATTGGAGGCCATTCATGTAATCTGTAGACAAGACTCCAATGTCTTGACTCACATGATCAGTAGGTATCATCATCGTCTTCAAATAGTCTTCCAGTTCTCCAAGTGCCTCAATTCTTCCTCACTACCAGAGTATACTACTGCTTATTACAGATTTTAAAGCACATCAGTGAACACATGCCTTTTAAAGCTGGGCTCTTGAACTCTGACTACTGTCCTTCTGGTGAGCTCCACTTGGCATGTTTTCCTTCTGTCTTTCCAGGCTAGTATTGACCTGCATGGTTTTCTTGGGTTGCTCCTATGTGGATTTCTCATATAACACCTTAAGGAAGAAGAAAAGAAAATGAACACTTATTGAGCATATATAATTTTTCAGGTAGGATGCCAAGTAATTTACAAAAGTTATCACATTTATCCTTACGCCTTATAGTAAGTCAAGGCATTATGTGGCATCTCACATTTATAAAACGGTCTTTCTTTATAATTCACATAAATTATTACTTCATTTAATCTTCACAGTTGTTCTGTTGTGAGAAGGGCATGATTCATGTTTCAGATCATGTGAAAAAACTGAGATCCAAAGAGGCTGATCAATACAAAGAGAGTTTTGAAAGAGCTAACACTTGCGCCTAGATTAGTATCCATTCTAGGAAGCTCTGAAAGGCCTACTTCCATGTAAGACCCACTCTGATGGCATGTGAAGAATGTAGGCTTCAGAATCATCCAGATGTGGCAATCCAAGTCCTGGCTTTGCCATGCCTTAGCTCTGTGGCCTTGGTCAAGTCTTTTAACCTCATACCGCTCTTGTTACTTTATCTAAAATGGAGAAAATAATGCCTATCTCATAAAATTGCTGCATGATATAAATGAGATACATTTTGCCAAGTGCCTGGAGCTTAATAGTTTTCAACAAACAAATGCTCATTTCCTTTTCTATTCATTCAACTTCTAGAGCAGGTAATCATAAATGGAGGCATAGATAGGTGAAAGGTCCTGGATCAGAATCTGGGATCATATAGTCAGCAATGTGAGTACATGTTTATCAAAAGGGGGAATACCCTTTAAAAGTTGAAAGATGCTCTTCCAGGATGTGTGAATCTCAAAATGTGTAATTAACCATTATTTTGAGCATTTTCCTCATGTGAGGCACCACGTTGGGTGCTGAAGGGGATATAAAAACATGGTCCTACCTTCAGAGAGTGATCTTTGGTCTGCCATGAATGTCTATTCTTCTTCCAAAGACAACTGTAGAAGGAAGCACAGATTCTTAGATTCTAGGCTACTCTCATGTCTCTAAGCAAGTGTTCCATTCTTGTGTGGTTTCTCGAGGAGTTTTCCTGCAACAACCGGGTCAAAGCAATAAAAGATAAAGTTTAAAAGTTAAAAGAGACCTTTATAATCTTCCATTAATAGTGCCCCTGGCAATCTCTCAGAAGCAGGGTTTACTGGGTCTCTCTCAGCTCTTGTCTTCTGGTCTTAGAGGTCAGCCAGGCCTGCTTGTTCTAACATAGTTTTTTAAATTAGTGGGTCATGAAGTCAATTTAGTAGGTCTTGGCTAGCATTTTCCAAATAAAAAAGACCAGACCAAATTAGAAAAAAAATCAAAATGGCTTGTATTTTATCCTCAGTGAACGTGGTTTTTCTTTTTTCTTTTTTTTGTTTGTTTTTTTTCGTTTTTCATGAAACATTAGCCTGTATAGGATATTTTTTACTTCAGGTGACCAAAAATGTTTGCAAAACATGTCCTAAAAAACAAAATCTTACAAATTATAGCTGCCAGGAGTGTTCGTGGAATAAGTGGCAGGTTTCAGTCTTTAGGTTTAAATCTAGCACTTTGGAAGCTGTTTCATTCTAGGCATTGCTATTAAAATTTATGTAGCTGACATTAGATAAATGCTCTTCCCTTCTGTTGGCTACATGAACCAATCAGGTAGATTTCCCGCTGATTTCATATTCATCTCTACCACCACCACAACCACCATGGTCTCCTGTGGAACCACCATTTCCACAACCACCATTTCCTGTGGAACCACCATTTCCACAACCACCATGGTCTCCTGTGGAACCACCATTTCCACAGGAGAATCTCTCTGGCAGGGCCCCTTGATCTAGGCTCTTACAGGCTGACACATCCTTGCTCTTATTCTCTGCATCTCCTGAAAATGGATACATGATCAGTCCATCACTAGAAATAATCTGACTCATAACTGCTCAGAAATCCATATAGAGTTCAAAAGATAGGGCAGATTTTGTTGCCATTCTTATTCTCCTCAAGCCATCTTCTGCTATGTTTCTATGTTTCTGCCTTGTATGGATGTCTGGGAACACCTTCTTTCCTGGGATTCCCTCCTCTTCTTGGATAATTCAGTTTCATTCTGCCACTATGCCTTATACTCTAACCAGCCAACCCCACAAGCTGTCACCATTCAGATCCAAATCAACAATTTTTTTTTTTTCACTTGGATCTTCTCATGCTTCAGAGTGGAATTCTCTTAAAACTAAAACCTTTCTCTGGCTGATACTGCTCACTCCTCTAGACATAACTCTAATACATTGTTATTTTTAAAAGGGACAAAAGACATGAAGTGGACAGAACATACTTGTCTTATCTCATTAGACTGGGGATGTATTCTCTGCATCACAGGAGGTCCCCACATTGGAAAATCTGTCAGCTGACATTGAAATTTCTAAAGAACCTGTGAATTTATCCTGCTGAATAATGTTTGAACCAAAAGATTCTTAAAACATAGATACATATCAGTTCCCTCCCAGTGTCTTACAGTTCTATAGTTGTTCAGATAAGGAAGTGTTGGTGATGACTAGAATGACAACAGAAGGATTTGTGGAGTAGACAAGAGCTGAACCTGGATAGGTGGGCAGAAGCAATGTAAATAGGACTTTCTATGCAAATAGGACAAATAAAGATAATAGAAAGGAACCAGGAAACCCTGGATGAATTAATGGACCAGCCTGGTGGGATGGAGAGATGGATTGGAACTCGGTAGTGAGGTAGCATGGAAATGCAGGTTAAGACCAGATCCTCGATGAAATACTTGAGTGCCAGGAAAAGAAGGGAAGCCTTGGTTTTTTAGTAAATGAAAGTCTTGATTTTGAGCCAAGCTTTCTGAGCAAACCAAAGCAAATGAAGCCTTGGTTTTTGAGTCTTGGATTTAGGGAGATTAACATTCTAGTTTGTGGAGCAGGATTTGGTACAAAGACCCATCCAGCAAAGATAGACCATAGGAAGAGCCGCTACAGTAATCCAGAGTTGAGGTAAACCAGGGCACCAACCAGAGTGATGCAGTGGGAATTGAAAGGGAAAAGTAAATATGAAGGCTTTTAAAGACAGCGCGCCATCAACTTGGGGCAATCTGATCAGCCATATTGTATTTATGTGCTCCGTCTTGAACCAGTTAATTTTCCCTTCAGATGTATCTTTCCTGAATATGCAAATTCTCATTAAGATACATGCCATATGCCTGCTTTGACGCTAAGTCAGACCCCACCTAACGCTAGCCTTTACCTCTTTTTTTCTCATTGGGTAATCAGCTCACTGAAGCAGATGTTACTTCCCGACTCCAGAGATGCCAACAGCCTCAGAAAGAAATGGATTATAGAACTGGGGTCTACACTCAGCATGATCCAAATATGGAAATCAAACTGAGGCCTTCTTAAGCTCTGTGCTTGGCAGTAAGAATGAAAAAGGGCTTAATGTTGGGCCTCAAAAGACACTGTGGTTACCAGGGCTTAGTGGGCACATTTGCTTGCCCACAGAAGGTCTTGCCAATTAACACTAATGGTGTGCTTTCAATTTACCTTCATGGATTAATTTGACAAATATTTATTGGCTGCGTACCAGGCACCAAACAAGGCAGTGGGGATAAAAAGATGCAAAGGGCAAAGTTCTTGGCTTTGATAGAGTTTCCTGCTGAGTGGGGGAAGACAGACCTATAAACAAGTAAATAATATTACACTGGAGTGCTCTGCCCTCTGCTTGTCCTCTGAACACCCAAAATTGTAATAATCTGACGCTGTAGAGAGAGAGAGTTTGGGATTAAGGTCTTCACACTGCATACTTTTCAATAATCATTTAGAAGGTCAAGAAGCCACATATAAATAAATACCTTACAGTAAACCTTTTTTTGAGAAGAAGCAAAAATGAAAGCAGGCCGGGTGCAGTGGCTCACATCTGCAATCCTAGCACTTTGGGAGGCTGAGGCAGGTGGATCACCTGAGGTCAGGAGGTTGAGACCAGCCTGGCCAACATGGTGAAACCCCATCTTTACTAAAAATACAAAAATTAGCCAGGTGTGGTGGTGTGTACTTGTAGTCCCAGCTACTCGGGAGGCTGAGGCAGGAGAATTCGTTGAACCCTGGAGGCAGAGGTTGCAGTAAACCAAGATCGAGCCACTGCACTCCAGCCTGGGCAACAGAGCAAGACTCTGTCAAAAAAAAAAAAAAGGAAGGAAGGAAGGAAGGAAGGAAGGAAGGAAGGAAGGAAGGAAGGAAGGAAGGAAGGAAGGAAGGAAGGAAGAAAGAAAGAAAGAAAGAAAGAAAGAAAGAAAGAAAGAAAGAAAGAAAGAAAGAAAGAAAGAAAGAAAGAAAGAAAGAAAGAAAGAAAGAAAGAAAGAAAGAAAGAAAGAAAGAAAGAAAGAAAGAAAGAAAGAAAGAAAGAAAGAAAGAAAGAAAACTGAAATCAGCAAGTGCTCAGCAAAATCTGGAAGGTTTCCCCAGCATGATTTTGCCTTGGGTCTTTATTTAACTGGTGTGGTTACACTGTCTAATGTTCCTTATTTTTCACAAGACTTGAACTTCATGATGTGGAGGCCCCTATTCTCAGACCCTAGAGTGAGTCAGACTGCCCACGCTTAGTGGTGGAGAATTCCAACAGTCAGCAATAGGTATAGTGGGAACTGGAAGGAAGATAGCCTGAACTCTTAGTGAAATCCTTATGCAGGAGTTGTGAAAGTATAGTCTAGAGGGGTTTTGGCTGGGAAGTTTAGAAGAAATGAATAGCTTGTTTGTGAACTTTTAATCTGCTCTGTGAATTATAATCATGTCTTTACAGTCAGAATCCTGTCCCTCAATAGGTATTTCTTCCCAGGGACCACAACAGAAGTACATCTTAGGAAAAGGTCAACCCAGGATCACCAAGTAAAGCACAGATTTTGTTGTTAGTCGTTTAATTTATGCTCATCTGTAACGAACTGTTTGTCTATGCTAAGAATTAAAGCCATACATCATTACGAGTCTTTGCTTTTGTTTTACAGTTTTTCGTTTTTTGTTTTTTTTCAGTTAAAATGAGGTGGTTTCTAGTGGTGAAGGATATGCAAGGTTGAGGTTGGAGACGGCTAACAAAATGGATGTGGACTGGAAGTAAATGCTGTAATTATATTGGCTTTAAGGATTATTTTAAACCTTAGGAAGAAAGGAAGGTATTGAGAACGTTTTTTGTTTGTTTGTTTGTTTGTTTTAATAGAAACTGTAGATAGCATGCCTCTAAATAGTTTCAAGTTAGTTTCCTTGAAAAGTATACTGCCTCCTTTCCTTCCTCATATCCTTGTTAGGTTTTGCTTAAAAATAATGTGAGGGGCCAAAAAAGCTTTTAAAGCTGATTTCCTTCAGTTTGTAATTCCTTGCCAGGAGCTAGAGGTCTGATTGTCCATGCCCTCTTCAGTCTGCTGGCTATTTATGAAAATATAACATAAAACAAAGTGCACATGCCACTCCCCCCAACACACACACACACACACACACACACACACAGGGAGAGCGTTTGAGAGCCTAGTGCAAGACAGGACCACAGAAAAATATGTTCACATTAATTTAATTGCACTAAAACTGGAAGTATTCAGAGGAATAATAAATCCTATTAGATTATTTTCTTGTCCTCAGAGAGAGGTGCCTGCCAGTCAAGAGCCCTTTACTTAGAGGGTTAAGTCATAAGTTACAATTGGGCCTGCTAGAAACAGGACCTGGATCTCAAGCACCAGACAAAATCTGTCCATGGAGGCTGGAAATGCTGAGGTGAAATCACAGGACTTTTGTGTTCTGTGCTTTTCAAGTGAACATAAATAATTCAACAGCTGTGTTTCACTCCAGTGGAATCCCCCAAATATTCACCCACTCCACAACTCATTTAAAGAGGCACACACCCAAGTAATTAGTGAATTACCCATTTCAGCTTGTGTAGCCAGGTGCCAAGAGGTGGTCTTTTGCAGATGTCAGGTGATTACTTAACATGTTGAGTTGAGGCAAAAATCTAGTTTCTCTTCTTGCTGATCTTATGACTTTTTCTCCATTAATCAAAAGATCCCAGAAAGTTGTATGAATCACCAAGGCACTGGAAAACATCAGTACAACACATGTTGAATCCAAAGTGCCCAAGGTCTAAATTATTTTCTAGTAATGGTGTTTCCACCTAGTTTAATATATTAAAATGTAACTTACCAGTCTTCCAATAAGTCTAATCTGGCTCTTTCTGGGAGGATGAGAGAGAGAGAGAGCAGGAGAGAGCAAGAGAGAGCGAGGGCAAGAGAAAGAAAGAGAGAGAGAGTGTGTGTGTGAGAGAGAGAACCATTCTCTTTATTCAAAGGGTTTCATTTACCATCTATTAGAAGGAGAATTGACTTTCGTATTCCTTGGAGTTCTACTCAAGCCAACTAGAAGGAAGGTTAAAGACTCACTCATTTAGGCTGGGTACAGTGGCTCACACCTATAATCCCAGCACTTTGGGAGGCAGAGGCAGGAGGATCACTTAAGGCCAGGAGTTCAAGATCAGCGTGGCCAACATGGTGAACCCCGTCTCTACTAAAATACAAAAATTAGCCTGATGTTGTGGTGCACACTTGTAGTCCCAGCTACTCTGGAGCCTGAGGCATGAGAATTGCTTGAACCCAGGAGGCAGAGGTTGCAGTAAGCCAAGATCGTACCACTGCACTCCAACCTGGGTGATGGAGCGAGACTCTGTCTCAAAAAAACAAACAAAAACAAGTCATTCCATAAATATTTTGGGGGTACCTACAACATTTCAGTCATTACAAGTTGCTGATGGAACAAGACAAATACAGTACTTGGCCTCATAGTCTAGACTTCCACAAATCTTCATTGTTCACCCAGTAGAAGGGCTAGATTCAAATTATCCACAAGGAATTGCAACAAAATGAGGTATGCACTAAAAAGGTGACCAGGGAAATATAGGGTCTGGGAATCCCATATGAAGAACATTTGAAAGAAATTGGGAAGTTTAGGGATGTTGTAGATATTATTCTCTGTGGTTCAAGAGGGTATATCCAAGACAAAAAGGTGGTGGATGTCAGTTCAATATAGAAATGGTATAACATCTAGAGCCATCCCAGAACAGAAAATGCTGCTTTGAAAGGTGGCAAGAGCTCTATTCCTGTGTTCAGGTAGCCACCATTCCAGACATCACTACTCAGTGGTCTTGTGGAGAGATTTTTATTTTTCAAATCTCACTCTCTCACCTAGGCTAGAGTGCAGTGGCACAATCACAGCTCACTGTAACCTTGAACTCCTGGGCTCAAGCCATCTTCCCATCTCAGCCTCCCAAAGGGCTGGGATTATAGGCACGAGCCACTGCAACCAGTCAATGTGGAGACATCTTTTCATTAGGCAAATGTTTGTATCAGATGACATCTAATGAACCTTCCAATTCTATGATTCTACAGTTCTATACACCTGATGGCCAGTGACTACAGAAGCTATCAACTCCATTAAGCAATTCATTCTTCAGCCTGAACATCCTAAATCCAGTCAAGCAGAGGACTTGGAGAGACTCTCTGTTCCAGGTGGAACAATGCAATATAGCAATAGAAACTGCTCTATTTTCTTACCTTCCTCTTACCACAGATTCACCCTTAAAGATCATCTCTCTGGAGAGATGGTCACTGACCAACAGTTTTATGGAAGGGGTTTTCAAAGTTGAATAGTAATTTGTTCAAAGATACATAGCTTTTGGTGGCAGAGACCAAACAATAAGTTCCTCTGTTTGAGTTCAGTTCCTTGTCTATGACAGACAGAATGTAAATGGTAGACTTTGAATCATGTTCCGAAGAGCAAAAGGACGGGAATATTTTACTGTGTCTGAGTCACATGCTGAACCTTTGACATGGATTCATTTAGTCCAAATTCCAGTACTTATTTAATTCTAGAGTGTTCCAGCTGCAGTTTTTGGAGTTGCCTAGCTAAAAGATTCTGAACAGAAAAATCCTAGACTTCTTTCCCTACGTGTGCAACTCCTCTTTTTCCTCCTTTCTTCCAACTCAAATTTTGAGATTCCATAACTATTTACATAATCAGACACTTTGTTTCAGAAACAGTACAACTAATGTCTTTATGAAGAAATACCTTTCAAATGCTCAAAACCCCAAAACGTCGTTCAAATCTCTATTCGTGCGCTCTCTCTTTTTTTTAATGAAAAGAACAATTAAAGAGATTTTAAGGGGAGGATCTGGCACAAACGCCCTTAACCACCTTTCAGGGTGTTTTCTTTGGAAAATATGATTACAGCTGTTCAAACTTTAAATTATTTACATTGAGCAAAAACTTTGATTTTTAAAAGTCATATGACTTTATATAAACTAAAAAATGGCAAAGAATCAAAACTTGGCATTTTTCACGGACACATATTGCCCCTGAAGGGTGCTTGCTGGGGCCTTGGGTTGGTGGGAAATGATAAACGAAGACTGAAGAATGAGAATTTTGCCTGGTGAGTCATATTGGGTTGCAGCTGAGTTTGAAAACAGCAGGTCATCATCAGAAAGGTTTATGTGAAATCTAATGAATCAGAAAGAGAAAGCGAGGGGAAATGGTTTCTTTTCATACAGGGCCAGATTCTCATCTGATGTAAGTCTTGGAGAATTAGCCAACATATGGAAATTATCCCCATGCGGTCATATGGGATAGCAGTATGAGGAATCATTGAAGGAACAGGAATATTTAGCTTTGCAAAGAGAAGACCTGAGTGGAACAGATCCCTCTTTTCAAATATTTGGAAGGTTAGCATGTTGAGAAGGGAGTATTGTGTGTTGCTCTCAAGGCAACACAGAGTCAATGGGTAGACATTGGAAAGACAGGCTGTGGTTTAATATTCTCTTGTCTCCCAGTGGGGCCTCAGAGCATAGCTGTTTCCTCACAGCAAGATAGGCTTCTGTGGTGGGACAGAAAACTGTTTGCGGAGCCTCCCCCTGGCAACTGGGATGGGAGTTGAGGAGACTGACCCAGCTCTTGGACTGACAGTAGAGTTTCAGCCTACCAGGCATGGCTTGACTCAAAAGGCAACGCCCATATGCAGTTTAGGCAAACAGGTAGCAAGGAGGAATGGAAGGCACCCAGGCTTTAGAGTTAGGAAGGTGTAAGCTGAAACCCCGGCCCTGTCATTTATTGTCTGTGTAAACTTGGGAGAGTTTCTTGGCTTCTCTGAGCTGCAGTTTCCTGATCTGTACAATGGGGATAACTTCACCTGTCCTAATGGACATCTGTTGTTTCTTTCTACTCAGCATTTCCTCTTCCTGCTTTAGTAGAAGCACCTTGATTTCTCCCAAGTCAGATAGAGCCTCAGTGTCAATCAAGGTGACTTATCTACCATGGACAGTCAAGCTTTGCTGCCCTGGGATTTTAATCTTGAGCAGAGTGACCCAAGGATGAAAAGTAGTTGAAGGTTATTCCTTATGAGGATGGCATTATAAAGAGGTGTCCATCAGTTCCACCAGTTCCTGTGGCCTGAATTTCCTGAGTTACCAATTTGCTGCCTCCTTCTTGGGGCCTAGTTGTTCAGCTTCTTTTATTCTATGAGCGTCCTAATTTTCTTCTGATAGATTGTGTTTTTGCTTAAGCTAGCTGAATCAATTTCTGTGATTTGCAAAAACAAAATAACTGTATCTATATTCCTACTTTAATAGGGTCACTGGAAGGATTAAATGAGAAAATATACATAAGCTTCTGATATAACCCCAATGTGTGGCACATAATGTGTGCTCTTTAGTGGTGGCTTTTTTGACTATTGGGTACTGTGGGCCCAAGATGAGGAGAGAACAGTTCTAACAGGTAGATTCTGAAGTTCAGGTAGACACATCATCTGGGATATCTATTCTTAAATATTAGGCCCCAGCAACTCTCTGCTGTAAAGAACTTGTTAACCACTAAAGTTGGCCTGACCATGAGATTGGGTGGGACTTCCTAGCTCTAAAAGTGATCAAGCTTAGATTCAAGGCCCTCATCAGAAGGCCATAGAGAGGCTGTCATATTGGGACTGAGGCCTTTATGGTCTCTTCTCTGTGATTCCAGGTAATGGATACTCCAACTGCAGTAAGCTAGTGTGTAGGGATGGGAGCCTCAGGTCACCCTAGAAGCCAGGAAATACTTTTAAGTCCTGATTTTACTTGATCCCTTGTCATTTGGCACTATTAATCATCTCTCCTTCCTAGCTTTCCTGTGCTACCCCTCCTTGCTGATTTTCCTCCTATCTCGTTGATAGTGCCTTTTCATGTGATGTTTCCTCTGCTCTTAATGCCTTTCTTTACTTCAGCCATCAGGCTAACTCCTATTTGTCTTTCAAGATTCAGCTTAAGGCCTCGGTCTATTCTGAAGCCTTCCATCTCACCCTTGTCAACCCAGCCTCCCTTCCTCCTCCTCTCCCCAGTGTGCTTCAGTACCCTCTGTTCCATTAGTTAGCACACCGGGTTTTCATAACTAATTCCGTGCCCCTCACCTCCCATCTTACCTGTAGGAAAAAGACCTTTCACTATACTTTTGGGTCTTATTTGGGGTGTGTGGGTGTGTGTGCGTGCATGTGTGTGTTGGATGTCTTTTTCTTTTTTTTTGAAACAGGGTCGTATTTTGTCACCTAGGCTGGAGTGCAGTGGCATGATCTTGGCTCACTACAGCCTTGACCTCCCAGGCTCAAGCAATCTGCTCACTTCAGCCTCTCAAGTAGCTGGGATTACAGGCATACACCTCCACACTCCACTAATTTTTGTTTTGTTTTGTTTTTTGGAGAGATATGCTTTTGCCATGTTGCTCAGTCTGGTCTTGAACTCCTAACCTCAAGTGATACACTCTCCTTGGCCTCCCAAAGTGCTGGGATTACAGGTGTGTGCCACCATGCCCAGTACCAGTTATTCTTATAGTTGGAAATGAAATTAATGCAAATGTTCCCAAATGGGGCAGATCAAAAACTTTTTAACTATTCCAAGTTACCTGACTTTACTACCAAGGAATACAGTCAGGACCTAGATAGTGATTCAACCTGAGAGGCTAATGAGAAGACAGATGAACCAGATTGACTGAATATTTCAGGCTGGCACCTTAGTTTCCTGCCCTAGATATCTCCATCTCTAGATAATTTTCAATATGTTTTCCCCAGAATC